GCGTTAAGTCAGAATTGGATTTGTTTGCACTACCGTCTACACAAACTAGCATTGAAAATGGATTGTGGATTCATTATAAACCAATTTCATCTCTTGGTGATGATGGACCTATCGAGTTTCAAGTTCCTGGGACAGGCGATGACTACATAGATTTGTCTCATACATTACTCCACATAAAGGCAAAAGTATTAAATCAAGATTCAACTAACTTGATATCTACTACAATAGTAGCACCTGTAAATAATTGGCTGCATTCACTTTTTAGTCAACTTGATGTTTATTTAAACCAAAAACTTGTATCACCACCTAATAATACCTATGCATATCGAGCATACATGGAAACCCTTTTAAACTATGCTCCTGCTGCTAAACAATCTCATCTTACTTGTAGTCTTTGGTATGATGATACAGCAGGAAAAATGGATTCTACGGATGGTAAAAACATAGGATTTGTTAAAAGACAGGAATTGATTAGTGAAAGTAAGGAAATAGAAATGATTGGTCATCTTCACGGTGACATTTTCAACCAAGATAAATTTTTAATTAATGGTGTTGAAATGAGTGTTAAATTGGTTCGATCGAGAGAGAGCTTTAATTTAATTGCTGGGTCAAACGATGTAAAGTTTAAAGTTTGCATTACGGACGCAACTCTTATTGTTCGACGAGCATGAATTAATCCAAGTGTATTACTCGCACATCAAAAAGTTTTAGCTTCTACCACTGCTAAATATCCTATTACTCGAGCTGAAGTAAAAGTTTTAACAATTCCATCGGGTGTTCAAGGAAAAACTCTTGATAATATATTTTTAGGGCAGGTACCCAAAAGATGTATAATTGGATTTGTGAACAATTCTGCATTTAATGGTTCCCTTACTAAAAATCCATTTAACTTTGAAAACTATGGTATTAATTCTTTCAGCTTATATATTGATGGTCAACAAATACCTTCAAAAGCTTTGCAACCATCTTTTAATAATAGCATATTTACATCAGCATATCATACTCTATTCTCGGGAACTGGTATTCACTTTCTTAATGAAGGAAATGGAATCTCTTGTGAACAGTATGCCAAAGGTTACTGTCTATTAGCATTTGACTTAACTCCTGATTTATCAGCCAACTCATCAGCTCATTGGAATCTCATAAAGCATGGTAGTGTAAGATTAGAAGTACGATTTGAATCCTCACTAATACAAACAATTAACTGTATAGTTTATGCTGAGTTTGATAATATTATTGAGATAGATAAAAACAGAAATGTTACTGTAGACTATAGTAGTTAAGGTTATAATAATATGTGTTGTGTGTTAGATTTTATGAGTTATGTGTAATGCATTTTGTGTGTACGTAACTATGTGAAACATTATAAAATTAAATAAAACAAATTGTATGCAATATATTATTTTTTATTTCTTTATAAATATTCTATTTAATCTAATACAAAACTCTGTTCGAGTTTAAATTTTACATAAGCACACTGACTAAACCACTGAACATGCTGCTGCCAAGGATCATCATCATCTTCCCAATCTTTTAAGCCACCACCACAATGGAAACACTTGGTCCTGTCTGCATGGCCAGTATAAAAGAAACCGGCTTCTGCAAGATCTTCAGGTTTCTGTCGCATAACGAGAGGCCAGTTTTCGAAACTGAGCAACCGGCTAGATTTTGAACTGAAGAATGGATATTCAGCTCTTGAGTACTGCATATTCTCGTTTTCATCTCCACTCAGTGTTGTAGTTTTGTTCTTCAATGATGTGTTCTGTACACGTATGTCACACTCATCTCTTTCTTCTGCTCTTGTCTTCCTGTAATTTAAGTAAACAGAATCACATTCACTAATGATCAGCTAATGACTGTCATTGTTAAAAAAGTATTTTTTAACTTTTTCACTTTCTGCTATTGTCTTTGTAATATTGTATACGAGGGCGTTTGTGTTGTCGTAGATGCTATCCTTATTAGTCTTTACGTAATATTTAATCCTCGTGGAAGCATGTTTCCAATGATCAGTAGTTGGAATCTTGGATAGCTTCTTCATATCGTACATTTCAATTTTGATGAGATGCGTCGCTTGGTCTCCGTCGTCAGAATTAGTAGAAATGTATGATACACCATCTCTAGCGGCTCGTGCTACGGTTGATGATAACAGCTTCCTCTTTTTTATTTTTGATTCAGCTTCAAAAAAATGATCAATCGATTGCGATTTTCTTTTTCCACCATCGCATGTGTTATTATTAATGACGATGTCATCACTCTCTTCTTGAGGGGAGAGTGGCGAGTAGTAATACTGTTTATAGGTATTTTCATCGAAGCTCAATGATTTCTGCAACAACACAGTTATCATGTGAATATCAATTTGTTAACACTTAATCATAAAAGTTAAAAAAGCTAAAGTTACAACCTATTAAAGTCCACTGCTGAACATAGGCCTCCTCTCATTTCTGAGAGGGTTTTAGGGCTAGGAAATGTTCGCTGCGATACCTCAATGCGTGTTGGCAAACTTCACATGCCTTCGAAATTTTCTCAGACATGCATTCCTCACGATGTTTTCCTTCACCGCTGAGCACGTGGTAAATCAGCACTTAAAATTGTAATTAACAATTTAATTTGTGCCGGCGGGGATCGAACCCGGGACGTGTACTATGAAGTTTACATTTTGCGCTAACCATCTGAGCTACCACGGCTTAACCATATACACACACATAATATTTAAATATAATTTGTTAACACTAAATCATACACACGTAAGAAAATAACAGAAAGAAAAGTAAGTTTGTCAATAGAATAAACACTTACATCCATGGCCTTTGATGCGTTGAAGTAACACAAACGTAGTATTGATAGATCCACTGCGGTCAAACGACCATACACTAACTCCATGACTGCAGTTGCTTGGTCTTATATAGTACCAGTGAGTAATAATTCTAATCTAAAGAATTTCTGCAGTAGAATTGATAGTATCTTTATGCGTCAACAAGCTTACCTTACATTCTGTTGGTTATCTCTACATTCCTACGTCCTTCCTGTCATGTCTTGTTCAGTGTATTGGTGACTCAAATACGTTTTGTATAACACAAAGAAAGCAATTTAATATTTAGATATCACTATAATTGATCATTCCTATATTAGTCATTGAGTAGATTGGTACTGTAATAATCTACTAATAGCAGTAATATTATGGATACACTAGATGTACAACAACATCTGAAAAAGATTCACCCCACTCTAGAAAATAATGTTTATGCTGCCAATAAACTACCCATGTACACCCACGTACCAACGTATATAATATGCAATTTGGATGCAGATGATAAACCAGGGTCACATTGGGTATCTTTATATATCGATACGAATGACGTCGGTCAATATTTTGATTCATTCGGACGGGCACCTGTACGATATCATCTAGAGTTTTTTAAAAGAAATTGTAAAAGATGGAACTGGAATGTTGATAGGATTCAGAATGAGTGGACTTCAGTTTGTGGCGAATATTGCTTAATGTATTTGCTATATAAGTTTCAGGGATGTTCAATGGATAGTTTTACGAGTATATTTACAGAGAACACATTGTACAACGATATTTTAGTGGATGAGATGTTTCGCTCCTATTTTATAGATAATAAGTAATAAGATTTTGTATTTCATAAATAAAAATTTTAACAAAATTAGGTAATGTGTTTTATTGATGATTCAGATTAGTGTTGTAGATAGGAACAAAGGAGTATAATACAATAGCATAAGCCGACCCACACGCTGGACGAATAATAGATAATGACGGTAGTTATTCAACAATAGATAAGTAGATAAGGACAATGGAGCGCTAATGACGGTTGAGGCTCGCAGCGGATATCAATTAGATAAGAGTTAAACAGTACTACGCAAAAATGGACCGCAGATTCGTGATCAGAGCATGCCAAAACCTTTTTTTTTTTTTTTTTTTTTTAGGATCGTGAGTCGACGAACGTCGTGCGCCAGAACTGGTACAACCTTTCTACAAGTGCGCCAGAACTGGTACAACGTAACTACTACAGTAAATGGAAACCCCGCCGAGCATCTTATTGTTTGTACTTCTTTTATGACACCGAATACCCATATATGCCGCTAATTCACATTCGGCTTAAAGGAAATTTTTCTCCATAACGGAAAATTAAAAATAAATACCTACAAAAATTGATTGTGAAAATCTTTAATTATTTAATCACTATTTACATATTCACTAATTTAACTATACTAATAGTTATTTATACTTAAAAATGATTTTGTTGCCTAATGACTTCTTACATTTACGCGAACACTACACATCAAACAAAACTAAACGGATTTTATCGCGTTTAATTTTGACTTTTTGTCACATGCTTTACGGCACCCATCTTCACGGGTCGGACTGAGGTATTTGACGTCCCGATGTTATAGTTAGCCCGGCTAACTTCAGTTTTAGAACATTAATTTTAAAGCACTCGAAACGTCGTCGGAGATTAAAAAGTCAAAATTAAACGCGATGAAATCCGTAAAATTTGTTTAATTTAATGAATTTATCGCCTATTATCACAAAATAACAATTTAAGTAAAATAAAATTAACAAGTTCACAATAATAAGTATATAATAAAATGAGACATAATTAGGTAAAGTATTTAATTAATTAATTAGGTAAAGTATTTAATTATCTCTCTCGAAGATCAATACACGTAAACATACTAATCTGTAAACACTGCGCTCGAGGTGAACTTTTGAAAGGTTTTTCAATTCTTTCTGATTGTCCCCACTTAAATAGGCTTTAAGAGTTGAGTATCATATTATTTTGTTATGAAACTTTTATTACTTTTTACTTTAATTATTTTTGATTTTAATTACGGAAAGAATGGCGTAATAAAAACTAACTATCGTGTGTAGGATGTAGATGTAAAAACAGCTAGCTAGTAAAACGAACAAAAAAAATGGAATATCAAACAAAAATAAAAGTCTGTGACAAATGTTCTAATATACACAAACTAAAACTTTACTATGTAACAAACAAGAACGCCATCACAAAACACAAACTAACTGCAACAAGATTTCCGATGCAGATGGATGAGCCATTTTCCGGTCCCTTGCGTCGTAAACGACGTAGTGGGTTCGGTTCTTGGTGAGCATCGAAGTCGATGGAGTTTGTACGTATGATATTTGCGTAGTACTGAGCCGAGGCGCGCGGAGTGCGTACGCGTTCCGAATCCTCGAAGTCCACTTCGTAAAGACCGAATTTTACACTGGAAAGATATTAATTGGTTAATTTTTTTCTTACTATAAACTAGTGCTGCTTATTTTAAACCGTGTAGTGTAGATATCGTAATAGGTGACAGCGGAAAACTAAAACGGCAGATGGGCAGCCGCATCTTCCTGATAACAACGCAAATAATAAAAAATTGCGGTTGGCAACCCGCCCGCTAAGTGTGTCTATTAAAAAAAATTCTCCCGATGACGCAATCTATGGAGAGTCCTATATTTAACAGGCGACTTTTATACGCTGTAATGGATAAGTCAGTGCTTCAAGCGTGTATGTATACATATAAAACAAGCGGCGATTTTTGTCAAACAATTCCCTGAATACTTCCCAAGTAATAATTTTTTAAGAGACAGAAGTTTAAGAGAAAAGTCTAATAACAGAATATACTTTCCAAAATGTAAATTGATGCTCTTCCAAAAAAATTCATATATAATGGCGATTAAAATCTTTAACTCTTTACCCGACGAGTTTAAAAATTTCCCAATTACAAAGTTAAAAAAACCAACTTCATGAATGGCTTTTACTTAATTGTTTCTATACTAATAATGAGTATCTTGATCACAAATAAAATCAAAACAAATTACATATTTAAAAATCTGAATCCAAAAATGCTTGAATCTTTTTGCTGTGAATTTATAAAGGACTTCGATAGTTATAGAATAATTATTAGTTAGTTAATTTTACTGTTTTTACATATGAACATTTTGATATTTGTAAATAAGTTAAATTCATCAAAAAGTTATTATATCTAATTAGTCAAAATTTGCACGCCTCGACAAGGCAGAATGTATAGGAACTTTCATGTTTTAATAATACTCTTGTAATATCTACCTACATTCTATGCAAATAATTATAACTATGAATTATGAATTCACTACAACTGCCACCAGGTGGTAAATGGTGACGTAATCTTAGGTGGGTAAATCACACGATCTTAGCGGGATAAAACCTTTTTAATTCTCGATTTTAAGACACGTTAAATAAAAGGAAATGACAGACGCTGGCTAACTATTCCACTCCTTTGCTGCACTATGTGTAATGAACAATGAAGCAAACTCTATGGTTCAAATACACTGTGTCAACAATAAAAGAAAACCCCAAAAAGCGTGTAACGGCGTACGTCATAAGATCATACCCATCTCAAAGGACCAATTTCATTAAAACCTTCAGCGTCCTGTCGTTTTTTTTTTGTTTCGTAATTCAGCAGCTATAAATTGCTCGTCGTTTGTAATTCGTACAACTGCAAACCGTTTGTTTTGAATGCGTGGAATTTAGAGAATAATGGGATACAGACTCGTCAAGCGTCGTTGTTCGATGGTGGAAGTGGGAGGTTAAAGGTTTTCTGTATGGGGAATATGGCTAAGCCCAGTTGCATGCCGTATTCTAATTCATGGACGGCGCTATGGCTACAAAACCACTGTGCCTCATAAATGTCATTAAATCATTAATGATCTTAATTTATCAAATAGCCTAAAATTTACTCTATTTCAATGAATACACACGTATAATAAAATTTTTTACAGATTTTATCGCGTTCGAAATGTGATAAAAACATTACAGATTAGAGTGGAACCCAAGCAGCACGCATGCTGTATACGAGCTCTATTGTAGTTCGTTTTTATACTAGGGGTGTATTTTATGTCTGTATGAGTGCTTATACAGTTCTTATAAGTAGTAAATGGCCAAAAATTATACAGTTTTATGCGTTAGTAGCGCTGTATAGTAGCTGTACAAGCATAAAAGAGGCTGTATAGCAGATGTATTACAGCTGTTGTTTGGTGTGCAAGGAAACTAATACACTGCAGATATTGTCTTAAAAGTAACTTTTAAAGATAAGCGCTCCAAATTTGGTTTTGAACGGAATTACAAATGAATATAAAACAAAAGAGATCTTAATTGTTGACTAGATTGTATTTATGTACTTTATTGAATGACGGCGACATTTAATTTCAGAAAAAAATTAACACATTAATATTATACTCGGATTAGAGTTGAGTTTTGACGGTGATAATTTGTGAATTGCAAGTGGAAAATTAGGTTTACGGCAAACTTGCATATGTTTTCTATCAAAAATTGCGGCGCCAGCAAAAAATCTATAATATAGGGACAAAATACGAAATGCAGTAACTAAATATTGGTTGTATAGGTTAGAATAAAATAAATTGATATCAAGCCACATTGGGATACTGTAATCATTAGTCAAACTGAAAACAATCGTATAGGCTAAAACTAATGTCGGATATTTCTAGAGTCATATTTTAAATTTTGTTTTTAGGTCCTAAAATAGCGATAATTTACTTAACCACCTAAACGGTATTTCGAACGTCTTATAGTCTTAATAGCTGTACTATGTATGTTTTGAATTCTATCATACATCCATTGATTTTAATCAGTTGTATAAAAAGAATATTATTATTACTTTGCTGTATAGCAGTTTTTTCAACATAAAATAATTTTCTTTAGAGCTACGTATAAATGGTGAAAACCCTTGTCGTGGGAACAGTATTGGATAACTCATATTTAAATTTAACATTATCGTCTAACTAGACCAAATCTGTTTTTCCGTATATTGAGAACAAATTAATTTTATTCCATAGCATTTATATTATAAAAACATTTATATTCTACCACTAATACAAATGTAAATTCTACTACGGCTGTTATTTTTTTTTAGGGCTTTATCACACTCACAGACAGAAGTAATAAAATCATAAGAGTATTTATAAGAGTGTACAATAACGCCATAACAATAAGTTTTAGAAGGGAATTTGCATCCACCATTGTTCAAAAATAGGCTTTGAGTGATACTAAACACTTAGAGCTGTAATAAACAAGTAATAGTGTGCATTAAACAGCTTCTATATAGCTTTGATGATAAAATCAGATTCAAGTGTTATATAAACTACTTAAAATTTTATACTAGGTTTTCCTATTCTGATTAAAATCCTAAGCATACCTAGCTCTCATAATACAGACTTTATACAGCTTGAGCTGTGTAATAACTCATAACCCACTCTGATAAGGATACAACCTCTTTGCGACACTTATACCCTTCTAAAAGAACTCAAAGTTCTATGTGGGTTGGTACGTTGATGTTCATTACGCTTGTGTGTTGCTTGGGAACTTCATTAAAGCTTTAAACTCGATGGGAAGGTGGTATCAAAAATAAGCTTTTTTTTACAAAATGTTACTTTTGGTGTTGAGTTTGTAATATTAAAAACGATATTAAAATGTAGTATATAGTAGTAGTATAGTATGCACAAATCCGATACATAGCTTCCGTCGTTCCTTTTTCTTTTTTCTTTTTTGTTCTTTTTGTTTCAGCAAAAGTCACAAGATGAATTTAAAGTTGTAAGCAGTATAACATATAAATAAGTTGTATGCCATAAAATAAATAAAGATAGTTTCTTTTATTAAAAAAATAACTTAAAAGCCAACGAGAACAATAATAAACCAACGAGAGTCACCAATAATTACCTATAACCATCCATCCATTCGAAATCGTCTATCATTGACCAATAAGAGTATCCCATGATTTTAGCGCCATCTACCCAAATAGAAAGAAGCACCTGAAACAAAAACATAAAAAATAAAACTATTATTTACGGATTTTATCGCGTTTAATTACTTTAATTTATTTTTATTATCCCGACGTTTCGGGTGCTTTACAGCACCCATGGTCACGGAGGCGACTGAGATGTTTGACGTCCCAATGTCATAGTTAGTCCGGCTACCTTCAGTTTTTGAATATTAATTTTTGGTCCGATTTACGCAAAATGAGCTTATAGTATCATGAAGTCTTGCAGTGGTATGCTTGGGTTTGGGTTTAATTTTGTTAATTATAGGATCCCAAGCAGATGGCAGCACCCATTCATCTTCTCTATTGAAATTTGGATGATTTTCTAATTTCAATAGCCTCGCGTATCATCCTTGGTAGGAATCGGTGTTCTTTAGTTCTCGAATGTAATGGTGGGGACGATCTTGAACATGTTCGCAGACTGCAGACTTCCCGGAGCGTCGGTGCTTCACGTCAGTTATATGTTCCTTCACGCTGGTTTTTATAGATCTTTTTGTTTGACCTATGTAAGAGAGACCACATTCACAATCTAGCTTGTACACACCTGCATCCTGTAGAGAATTTTCACCATCCATCAAATGTAATATCATTTGATGGATGGTGAAAATTGACTAATCTTCTTCGGCGGCTTGTAGTATGTTTTAATGGAAGCTCGTTTCAAGATGTAGCCAATCTTGTCTGTGACTCCTCTGACATACGGTAATAAAGCAGGTGCGCGCTCGACTGTGGCCAGCTTCACTCGTTCACTGTGACGTAGGCGCGGGACCTGAAGTTTGTTGTCTTGCAATACTTGCTTGACGTGCTGAAGCTCGGCGGCCAGATGTTTTCTTTACAAGCTAGATTGTGAATGTAGTCTCTCGTGTTGTGTTCGCGTAAATTTAAGAAATCATTACATAAAAAGTAAAGTATAGTTACAGCCTATATACGTCCCACTGCTGGGCACAGGCCTCCCCTCATTTCTGAGAGGGTTTTATGGCAAGGAAGTGTCCGCCGCGCAGCCCCAATGCGTGTTGGCGAACTTCACATGTCTTCGAAATATTATTTTCTTATTCCTCAGACATGCAGGTTTCCTAACGATGTTTGCACGTGGTAAATCAGCACTTAAAATTGCAATTAACAATTTCATTGGTGCCGGCGAGGATCGAACCCGGGTTACTCGCGTTCTGTTATATTTACAGCGAGCGTTAACCATCTCAGCTACCACGACTCTAAACAAAACGAAAACATAATTACCTTTTAATTCAATGGTATTTTTTATCAAACCGTATCAACAGATAACTGTATAAATAGACGTTGGAAGCATGCTTAAATATTGTCATATCATTCGTTATTACATTGTATATATATATAAGAAAAAAAAATGACCGCCTCGTTAGTCCCGTGGTAGTAAACGCGACAGCTGATCGTGAGATCCTAGGTACAAATCCCGAGTCAGGTCAAAAAATCAGTTTTTCGGTTAAGAATTTCTCGGAAACACCTCGGAGTCAGAAAGTTGGCAGTGTCTCACTTTTTTAATATGTGATTGCACTGTAATAGTGAAAATTGATTCACTTCTATTTTTTAAATATATTTTGTACTCAAACTCTTCCGTACAGAAACATAATTGTTTTTATATTTTCGTAAATACAATACAAGGCCAATGTCGCAAATGCTTCTTACAATGGAGAGGACCATGCTCAGCTGTGGGTTTTTATGCGCCAATGAAGTAAATAATATACGGCTATACAATTTTTGAGATAGCATTGCATTTCACATTTTTATAAGCCGACTATAGAAAAGACTAAGAAAAAGGAGGTCCTCAATTCAACTGCATGTTTTTTTGTTAAATTTAATAGGACGATGATCAACGGTTTTCAATCAAGACCTACTCCCGCTGTAATATGCGTTACGGTTATTACTCACAGGCAGTGATTTTGGGCGCTCATGTAAGTCTCATCATATCACCTACGCTTACAGCAACTCATAATTTTCTTTAACCCTCTTTTTTATGCTTGTATCTTGTGGACCCTTGTGCGGCATTTCAAACAATCCATTAAAATGTCGTAGGTACACCAGCGTACGAAAAATTATCACAATAATGGAGAGCTTTCAACGATGGTTGAAGAATTTTTAGCATCAAGAGACAAAATGATCTCATAGAATACCTGCGTAGCATAGCAGCTTAAAGCTGTGTGTTTCGTATGAGGAGTGACCCTTTTACTGGAAACCGACCATGCAATATTAGTCCTTAAGGGTGAAAACGTATAGTCTGTTTTGATTTTGAATCGAGGATAGATGTAGATGTTTTACCGTCGGGTGAACTACGAATATGTGCTCGTTTTTTACCCTTAGGTTTCGTAAAAAAGCTTTCTATAATACAAAAGTTCATCTTACCTGCTCCAAGTAGTCTTTGATGAATTTCACTCTATCCTCATCGTTTAGCCGACTGCCAGAAGTCGAATATCCGTTCTCCGTGATGAGGAAGCCCACGTTACCGTACCGCTTCATTAGCCAAGCGATCTGCCGACGGATACCTTCGGGGTATAACTGTAGAAAAATAAAAGTAAAGTAAAGAATATTTTTATTCAATATACAGATTGACATTAAAATAATTGTCATCCTTTTAAACTAGCTATGTATACAAAAACTTTTAAAAAAACTACTATGATCTTGGTTAAAAACTCTAAATACAGAAGAAACTGAAAATTTCTTGGTCACTTTAAAATAACATTACATTAGAATAATTTAACTATCTACTAAAAGTACTTTATCTATAATAATTAAAAATTATTTCACTTATATACTAAAAAGAGTACACCACCGCCCCTCCCTCAAATCTAAGTTAGGGCAAGGAGTTCGCCCCAAAGCTTCCTACATCTTCAAATATTTGTTTTCCTATCCTCAGACCGTTTCTCACTTCTCCCAATTAACAATTCACGTTATATTACCCTTTACCTCTCGGCTATTTATAAAACTATATTTAATTAAGTATAAATGTAATAAAAAAAACCTTAGCAAAAACCATGAATTAAGTAAATAATTATATAATATGTATTGACTGTTCACTGTACATTGCATAACTTTTTGTTAAACACCTGTAGAATTACTAAAATTATATATCATATATCTTTGCAATACTTCATTGTAACCTATCACCAAAATAAATAGTTCTCTGACTTGTGATAACAATAATCATTTATTGCATTATAAATTAAGAAATTAAAAATGTTCCCATAAATAGTAGTCTAACCTTTCATACGCATAATAAGTTAGTGTGACGGTAATCGCAAAAAAGTTATAATGTACTTACGAATTTGATACGTAATATATAGATTAGGTGAATCATAATATGCCGTATGCTTTTATAATTGTAAATAATGGTGCCTTTGGAAGTGACTAGTGTCTAAGATACAGGCTCGGCCTAGTTTAGACGCTAGTGTATAAAATTGTATAGATAAGTTATAACTCATACCATTTGTTCAAATGTCTTAAAGATAAATAATGTAATCCTTACTTTGTGTCAATAAAAATTATTATTATTGTTATTATACGTGATATAAATTACGTTGAGAGTTGAGATTAAAGTAATCCTTAATCCTTAAGCTTTAATACTGCACACAAGAAAATCTTTAAAAACAACCTGTTCGGAAAAACATTTGTTCTGGGTAGAACCAGAAAGATAACTTTTTCTAAAGCTAGGTATAGACGAAGCCAGTGTTCTATTACTGCAGTGCTGGCAGCCAGCGCTGACTTTTCTTGAAAAACTGTTTATACGAGGCTAATAACCAGCCAGCGCTGGCTTCGTTTAAACCTTGCTTTAAGTCCCATACGCCGCCACTACAAACCGCTGCTATACTAGTGAGTTTGACGATGCACTGTCAAACACTTGCAATCTAGAATAGAGTAGGCAAATGTATCGTTTATTATGAACGGGATAAGGTTGAGGAACGGGCACAGTTCACCTGATGGTAAGGATTTGCTGTGGCGCTTGGACACCTATATCTATCCTCTATCAAAGATTTAAATAGTTAGATGCGCCCTTACCATAGTACGACCACTCCGAAATGTGTCCATTCTCAATTGAGTGAGCTCACTCATTCGCAATCAGTGCTCATTTGTGCGACAGAGAAAGTATTATACACAATTTCTGTAAGATAATAAGAGATGACACTATTGCATTAGTGTGCGCGCGTCAGCGTCTTGCAAACGAACACATCCAAAAATAATGCCACAGTTTTCAAGGTGAAGGCACATCTATTTAAATCTTTGTCCTCTATTCCATCATATTAACACTGTGATGGAATGCCTCGTTTTTAGTAAAAGGGGTTTCCGGCTCTCAACATATACTTTGTTTATTCCTAATAAAAAATAACTCTGCTTTGTTACTTGCTGGTTCTTCCCAGGACAAAGGCATTTTCTGAACCAGTGGTAAATAAAAAATGACATCCAATACCTAAAATATCATAGATTAAATAACCGTGATATAGTATTATTTGCTAATGATACCTACATCCCTGATTTTTAAACTTAAGCGTCAATCATTTAAATGTAACGAAGTGAATAAAGCTATATCGAAATTAGTGCATTGGTTTAACGTCAATAATCTACATTTAAATGGCAATAAAACTAAATGAATTAAATTTACAACAACAAATGTTAATAATCCGAGTACCAATGTGTTTTTAAATGGGGAAGAACTGAGTCCTGTTGAGTCCTCTGTTTTTCTTGGCATCACTCTCGACGCTAAGCTTCAGTGGGGCCCCCATATATCTAAACTAGCAAGCAGACTAAGTTCTGCAGCTTATACTGTAAAAAAGATTAGAGGTCTCACTAGTGACTCGAAATACACCGAAGCCTAAATCACGCTATCAACATTCCGAATCATAAACAGTATATATAGAACATCTCCGAACTATCACTTGGAGTGTAAGCCGCTCCCCGGGCAGAAGACCTTGCCCAGCGGGAGATCACCCTTTTCCCACCACTGCCACAATGGTGACCACCCGACGTGATCTGAACACTCAACCAAACAACCTTCGGAAACTTCAAGCTTCATCATCGTCATAGAATACCCTACCCATTCGCTCCCGAGCAGAACTCTGCAGTCTTCATATCCTGCAAGCCATCTAGCTTCACAAGGTTCATCGCAGCACTGGAATAATAATGCTTCCTGTTCCTTTAAGCTACTCTCTACGCTATACAGTGTTCGGCACGGCTCTGAGCCTTACTACTCGCCTCTGCTTCACGGCACTCTCGCAGATTACTTGCCTTCTTCTCGACTCACCGCAGACTACAAGGCAATCTCCTGGCACTTGCACATTCGTCGACAACTCGACTGCACTATCGACCTCCGGTCTGAGCAGGGGGTGATGTGGCGGCGCTGTCGTCGCGCCACAAGCGAAATACACTGAAGCCTAAATCACGCTATCAACATTCCGAATCATAAACAGTATATATAGAACATCTCCGAACTATCACACGGAGTGTTGGCCGCTCCCCGGGCAGAACACCTTGCCCGGCGGGAGATCTCCCCTTTTCCTACCACGGCCACAACTATTTTTGTTTTGCAGTAGAAGGCCATAAAAGCTATTTACAAACTTAAACCAAGAGAGTCTCTTAGAGAAAAATTTAAAGAAATAAATATATCAACTTTGGTCTCTCAGTATATCTATGAAAATTTGATGTATGTTCACAAAAACAAAGGTAGTTTTAGTAAAAAAAGTGATTAAGGTATACCCTGTAAACACTAGGAACAAACAAGCTAGTGATACTAGTTTCTCGACTCCACAGAGTCAGTAATTCATTCTTGGGGCAATGTATACGCTATTACAACAAAGTCCCGGAAAATATACAATCTATTACCAAGTTTAAATATTTAATTAAACAAAAACTGTATAAAAAGGGTAATTATGATATAAATGAATACATGTGTTTGGTCTTGGTATACCACACACCTTTTACTTGATCTGATGATGAATGATTTAACACGATCTTGAGAAAAACAATGATTTATTGCGATTTCACAATACACGAAACTTGGTAAAAATATAAGATTGAGTCACGCGACCGTATTAGTAGGCAAACACAAACACACTCAAAAATAAAATATTAATGAATGAGGTCAGTCGCGCATAGTGTCAAAATTATGCTGACGCGGGAGAATGACGGTCCCCGCCAGATGAGGGCGGGATGCTGATCATGATGGCTTGAAAAAAGATGTATGAGTTGCTATGGGCGACGTAGACCTGTTTACAATTCGAACACTGTCTAGTTTATTGGTAACAGGATCACTACGATTGGTCGTTTCTTCTTCACAAATGCTGTTTCGGACGGAGGAGAGGCGAACCGCGGTGCGGGGGCACTGCCGGAGAGTTGGCTCTTGCTAACCGTGTTTGTCGCATTCGCCGCTACGCCAGGCCAGCACCCACGATAATTGCTGCTCCGATCATAATGTAGATGAGAGCATAATGATGCACATCATGGTATGATACATCACTTGTCAACACCGCCTGCTCTTTCAAGTCTTTTAGCTGTTTTTCTAAATCTGAAAATTGTTTTTGGCGGTCATTTATGGTTTCATCTACTATAGACGACATCGGAATCGATGCGTTGATGATATTGTTTATCGGACTGAAGTCTTCAACCTTGATGTCTGGGCTCGTCTTGATAACGCTGCGGTCAAGGTTACGAGCGTGCACCGTAAATAGGTCGGACTTGACAATGCACCCGTGTGAAATGCTGACGATGCCGGCGCGCTCCAGCTGTGGCGCGGTCACCTGATCCGCGCACATCACTCGTAACTGACACCTCTCACAACAAAAGTATAAGTACTTATTTATATTGTTTAATTCAGTCCATTTGTAATTGCAGGAGTCTACAACAGTTTTACACTGCTGTTTAATATTATCGAAGTCACAGAATTTCTCGTCTTGTGAGAGATGGTAAACTGGTTTCTTTAAGTGACATAAATACGGGTTAGCTTGCTGACTGCATGATGAAATTTCATCTATATCCATCACAATGTACGCATCCTTTGCTAGGTTAATGGCCACGTATTCCGATATTGGTATCGTGGTAACCATCTTGCTGTTATTAATCTTGGTCGGTACTGGAATAAGATGAAATATTTCGAAGGAATCTCTACTGATGAGCGGAACCTTTATCTCGAACAGCAGGTAATCTTCACATATTCTGGCCTTTATTGTTAAAAGTTGATAAATACTTTGAAGGCTTGCTTGTATGTTTTCGATTGGTAAGGCCAACTCCTTCGATATTTGGCTTGCTATGACACCGAGTTCATTTCTAAGCTGTTCTGGAGATAATAGATGGAAATTAAATCTCCCGTGATAAATATCTGTGATCGTGTCTAGCAATGATTCTTGCACGCTTCGTAGTTCCTGTATCATATTGCTTGCAGCTACTGCTGCCAAAGTTAATTGATTCACTTGAGACATGTTGACAACCTCTGAGTTTAATATGTTCACGGCCCTTTCTATATTTAGCATCTGTTTGTTTATTAACTTATGCTGCCTGTTCATAGCTTCTTC